AATTTTTGACCACACTAAAGATAACAACCCCCCCCCCCCCTATTTAATCCTTCAATAGCGTGAAGTTCACACAGAGAGCAACGAGTGGCAGCTATGACTGTGCCCACTCTAGGAAATTCAAGTCTGTGTTTAAATCGCTCTGTTGTCGTGCTTGGGCCTAATTACTAATTGTGCAGCGTCGTGGGGAAATTAGGTTCTCGTCAAAATGATGAAATCGAAGTCGTCGATATTTTTCTAACCGTCGGGCAGTTCTTATAGCTTTTTTTCTGAACACCTTTTATGTCAATGTAAAAGCACATTCGGTTTGAGTTTTACTGAAAAACATGGATCAAAAGCACAACAACTGCACATTTTTGGTTCACAAAGACAATCAAGCTTAGAAGTCATAAAACTGTGAAGGCCATTTCATCACTAATTTTACCTCTGACACAAGTCGACCCCCGCCGTCTTCAATTGCAAATATATCAACTTCTGTTAAAGATAGATGAGTATTCTTTTCCACAAAAGCTAGACAAATTTTAATCAAACTTTAAGATAAACGTAAATCCATCTGACCAAAAACTGACAAGAGTCTAAAAAACACCGTGCCACGATACATTCATTAATTCATTATTCTCAAACTCAGTTGAGACAGACTGCTGACGATGATAGACAATGATGGCCTCTTCCGACAAACACTTTTTCTGCGGGTAGTTGGAGGGTGCCAACAGTACCTCTCCGCCCCCCCCCCCCCCCCCCCCACCCCATCGAAAAAACACATTTGCTGTACATACCTTCTCTTGCTAGCTTTTCTAGCTAGCTTTTCTGTTCACTAAAAGGCTGGTCTTGTGTCGATGCGCTTCTTGATTTACTTTTCCTTTACTTTTATCTGCCATTTTTACCCTTTGTATGTCGCGGGAAGAAAGAGACGTGTCTTGCTTTACTGTTACGGTAATAAATAAATGTTCGTACTTACCGGTCTTTGACATGCCCACAGCGAGACATTTCTGATAGCGACAATAAGCACACAGCTTCCTGTTCACTCCTATGACGTCACAGTTTTTTACTCCTACGCACTGGAAGATCGTGCGTGTTTTCAAAGCTCGCCTAAAGAAACCCTGAAATTATGAACATGTTTTGATTTGTAAAACAATGTGCCTGCCTTATTTTCTTTACAAAATGGGAAAACAGAAGGGTAAAGAATAAAAACGGTGTACGTATTTTTAAAACACACATGACGTACAATTAAAGCAAATAATAATAGCAAAAATCAACACAAACAGAACGTAGGGGAAGGGAAAAGAATACGTTTTTATGGACATTTTACTTTAATATTGTGATGTTTTCCGCTTCGTACAGGGATATATGTCCAAGACAAATGCTAATTATATATCAATAGCGGCACCCAAAAGAAATTTGAAAATGTAATCTCCCAACCATCGCATGTCCGACTCATGCAGCATACCAATCTAAGGCTAGATCTAAAAGAATTATGCATCATCTGACACCTTAATAGTTCATCTATGTTAAGAAACGCCCGAGATATGGTCACTCAAAAAATTTACCTTGAAAAATCAGGCTTGACAAAATTGTTTGCAATCAAAGAAACATAAAATTGTGTTTGCGCGTGTATTTCCAAAAAAGCAAGAACAGACAGATATAGAAATTCACGCGGACCGACTGCAGTGAGGTTACTGAACACACAGTGCTTCAAATGAAATAGAGAGAGAGAGAGAGAGAGAGAGAGAGAGAGAGAGAGAGAGAGAGAGAGAATGTTTTACGGAGCGGGTTGTCCCAGCACGTGAGACATGTATTTACTAGGCCTAACGTCCTGTCTTGTTGTGCGTTTGCGTGAGTGCACCTTTAGGTCTAACTTTTGTAACGTCTACTGCCATTGTTAAAGACCAAGACATATTTCTTCCTGCGAGATGAATAAAGATTGTTATTGTCATTGTATTGAGGAGCATCAATATTGATAGAATGGACATACATTACATATCCAAAGAACTGAGAATTTTGTATTGCAATAAACAATATTCTATTTCGATATTTTGTCAAGATATTTTCAAACAGAACTGAAAACAGATCAATCACAAATACCATGGAAAACTTGGATTTAACATTAAAGGTGCTCATTGTTATTTTGCTTAGGAGCCATTAGTTTTGTGTATTGTACGAACACTTTGGGCATCAACATTGTTGAATTTTGTACATAGTTATCCGTCAATTCATACCAAATGTCACAGTGAACTGCATACAAAGGGTTTGAACAGGGAGCAAAATCGCTTTTCTTCAGCAGCTGTTTCATGGTGCTTTACTCTTCACATACTTGTAGGGTTCATATCAGGGCTATAGATTTACAGGAGACCACTCCAACCTTGATTTGATTTGGTCTTCCAAGAATGATCTAGTGGCATTGGACCTGTGAGAAAGGTCTTTGCTATGCATGGAGATATCTACTTGAATGGCACCATGATGAAAATACGGTAAGACAAGACGCTCTAGCACTTGCGCGATGTAGTCCACTAAACCAAGTCATCCAGTGGTTCTTATGAGGACCGTTTTGTTAATTCCAATACTGACCACCGAAAACCATGGCAGTTTCGAGGCCTCATTGACAGATGATTATGTCCAAAATCTAACTAACACAGTCCGCGTACAAAAAAAGCTTTCATGCTCGACACGAAACCATTATTGGTAGCTCTTTAACAAAGAAAAAAATAATACTCGTGAGCACATGTTATTTTAAGTACAGGTTTTTGGGTGATATTTGGAACTGCTCTGTTCTCCAACCTGTTTGAAAACATCATAAGAAGATGTTGTTCATTGCAAAGACAATAATATTCTCTTTTTATTTGATATTAAATACGTGTTCATTTAATCAATGTTGATGCACTTCAATATTCGCGCGAACACATTAAGTGAGGCATCGTGGTGGAATCAGGATATCGTCAAAATAATCAACGTGAAGAAACTTGCATTCTTTCCCAGGTTTGTGAATTTTTATCAAATTTTTGTCTTTTGGCGCAACACCTTTCATGTCCATTAAAGAATTCATTTCTATTTTGATTTTTCTGAATTAAAGGCACAGAAAATGTAAATTTTTATAGTTACCACTGACTCTTAAGCTAAGGAAGTAATTAATCTTTGGCGGCCATTTTCTCAGTAATTTTATCTCTGAAAACAGGTGACCACCACCCCCTTCTTTCGCAAATATCTCCACTCGTATTCAAGATAAATGGATATTTCTGTCATCCAAATAAAGACAAGCGAACAAGCTTTAAAATGATACCAATAACTCTATATGCCTAAAAATTGACGAGAGCCTGACTCTACCACGCTGCATCACATTTTTGCGTTTCTCTGATATCGCACAATTTTGCCATGCCTGACTTTTTAACCCTTCTAGCCCCAGCCATTTTTTGCCGTCCCTAACCCCAGTCCCAGTCAATGCACTAGTATTTCAGTAAAAGAGGCATGCATTTTAAAAAGTGATGTAGTATCTTTGTAAAGAAGTTTAGATAATAACATATAACAACTTTTAAAGGTAAATGGACAAACGTTATGAAAATTAAAGTGTAATAAGGTTTGCTAACTTTTTAAAAAGCACACATTTGGTACCCACCGAAACTGAGAATATATCCTTATGCTCTTAGTGCTGCTGAACATATACTAGCAAGGGGCTTGAAGGGTTTAGGTCAATTTTGAGTAACCATATCTCGGGTGTCTCTGAAATATTAATGTGTCAGATGACGTAGAATTTATTCAGCTTTAAAGTGGTAAGCTGCATGAGTGGGTAATGCAAGCCTATAACACAATTATTGGGTGATAATATTTTATAGTTTCTTTTGGACGCCACTATATATGAATCTTTTAAAAAGTTAAACAGTGTAACACATATGTACTTTCACAATAGATCTAGTACGAATCATAAAAGACGCCACAAAAAAGACAACACACTGCATCCTCCTCTCACCTTACATCCCTCGCACGTGTTAGCCCCATAGTGGAAACCCGACGCCTTTGTACGGCATACTTTACACGGGGGGAGGTTGGGTATCATCTTCTTCGTGGGCTCATCGGGGGGATGACGGCGCTTTCTCAAGGGGGCTTGCATCGACTCGCTTTCTTCTGTGTCCCCTACTGATGCCGTTTCTACATTTTCTGGTGACTTCGTCGCTGCTGCTGTTGCTGATGTCGCTGTTGAAGAGTTTGGTGAAAATGTTGTCGCTACTTCGGCTGCTACTGCAGCTGTTGTTATAGAGTCCCCCATTGATAAGGGAGATATATCGGTATCCCTCGTACGGCTTTTTGATGTTGTTATTGTTGCTAATGATTGCGGTGATGACAATGAAGATGCGGGCCATGATGCTGCTGAGGGTGATAGCGTACAGGCTGGCAACGATGAAGAAGATGAGGATTTCGAAGACGGTGTTGAAGACAGAGAACCCTTTTTCGTTTCACGTGATAAGGACATCAACAGCATACTCGCTGGGGTATGATTTGTGGTAGGGTACGAGGTAGTCACATGACATGATGTGTTAGATGGCGGCGTGACGAAAGCCATATCTGTGTCACTGGTAGTGAACTTTGACACTTCAGACTGTTGTGTAACCGGTGATTTGGTGGCAGCAAATAACTCCGATGGCGATTCGGGGTTGGTTAAAACAGAATGCAAACCCCTCGATGCGGAATCCAAGAAGTCGTAGATCTCACTTGTTTGTTCTGATTGTAATAACGATTGTCCTGAAGTCGATGGGGACGCGGTGCACTGAGTCTGTCTTTTGGAAAAATTTTCTAGAGTCGGGTCAGCATTTTGTCCTTTATTTACTCTATCTGTGGACTCCGCGGGCAGTTCAGGACTGCTCGACGTACAACCCAAACTCAGCAAATCCCTTTTAAGAGAAGGGTTTTTAGAACGATTTGATTTTCCAGATAGCGACATCGCTTTGGAAGACAGGCTACCTCATTAGACTCACCACACAGATCGTGCTGTTGCAAATATTTCGTGACAACAAAAGGGTGTCGACCTGGGACGAGGCCACGCAGTTATCGCAGCCTTATCGTTATAATCAGTTCTCAAGAGCACACACGAGGTTCTGAGACTGAGGCAGCAGGTGATAGCGACAGGAATGTATTATGTACCAGTATGCTCTAAGCTGCTATGCCGACAGTTAACACCAAAAACCTAAACAGTTTTGGCCTTGAAATAATACATCCAGGAAAGGCTAGAGACATGAAACTTGTACTTTGAACTGTCCTTGGCAGAGGTGTTGAATAAAACTACTCTGTGTTTTGAGGCGATCAAGTGACCATCAAAGAATCGGTGGGACTGTGGATCTCGTCAATCCTGTGAAGAGAGTATATACTATGATGAACAAATTAAACGATTACTTTAGCAATCTGGCAACCTTCTATACAAAATGAGAGGTTGCTTGAATTTTGAAAGGCTCTGCAATTAAACTCAGCTTCGTTTTGGACCACAAAATGACAAGAATCAAGACACAAAAACGGAAAAAAATCTCGTAAACAACACTTAAAGTTTGAGAAACAGTCAGAGTGAAAAAAGATATTCTTGATTTACGACACATGGTCTTTTTCCGTCTTCTTCTTCTTCTTCTTCTTCTTCTTCTTCTTCTTCTTCTTCTTCTTCTTCTTCTTCTTCTTCTTCTTCTTCTTCTTCTTCTTCTTCTTCTTCTTCTGCTTCTGCTGCTGCTGCTTCTCATGATAATGATGTTCATGATAATAATTAACGATAAATAATATTATTATCACCATAGTAATAATAGTAATAATAATAATAATGATAATATTAATAATAATAATAATAATAATAATAATAATAATAATATTAATAATAATAATAATATAATACTACTACTAATAATATAATACTAATAGTATGCATACATATAAACAATTAGGAAAAAACAGGCATTTCGGGGACACTAAAATCGACAGAGAAATAGAAAGCAAATGAGGCAGGGTAAACACAGAGCAGCTTACAGGGATACCGTTATCATAGATTTGCATTAGCTGAGTTTGGTAAGTTTGTAGTTGTTCACTATTTATAACAGATGTACTAATGAGATGTTGAATTTCAATAATTTTTTAATTTCCATATACATACAGTTAAATCGGTTGGTTTAGATGTTAGAACATTGACAATTCATTATCAAAAATACTCCAAAGTACTTCGCCTTTTTAGAACACGAAACATTAAAGCCTCCTAACAACAACAAAAAATACCCCCTTTTTCGGGGTTGCACCAATGGCTTTCGCATTACTTGCCAGAATAGTTTCTGTTTGGTAATTTATCATCGACTTGCTCTCATTCTTCCTCTCTTTATTACATCTTAAACATAATATTATCAATAATATAAAAGAGCTCACCAAGATTGATTTAACGTTGATGGTCTATAAATCCATGTATCTGTATAAACGTGATATTTTCCCTTTAATCTTTTTATGGCTTTGATATGTGGATTAATATAGATAGTAAATACTAAATAGTATCGATTTAAGGACTGAGATGGGGGAATCCCGTACTCAAGAATCTGCCGTCTCATGACAGAAAAACGAATATTATATATATTTGCCTAAAATGAAATTTTACAAGAGAATTAAAATCTTTAACATAAAAGGTGTTTCGACTTAACAAAAATCTTGTCGATCTGACTATTTAATGTCGACATTCATTGGTCGGTGTAACTTTTGTCTCATTTGCTGAGATATACAGTAAAAAGTTATGAAGTAATTATTAAACTGTCTTTGGTCATAACAATATCGATATGTAACTAGGTCACAACGCATATTTTCAAAAGCCCAAAACTTCCTTAATTTTACTTGCATAGCCATAAAACCAAGATAGAACGATGAACCCTGAATAGACCTCTTTGTCTCCTGTAAAAAACGCTACTTGACCTAATTACACACGACATACATTCTTTTGTCTTAAGACGGCAGGAATATAGTAATTAGATTTAATAACTTTGATGACCGTTATCTGAAGGCCGTTTGAAAGGTAGGACTGGAACCATTTGACGGTATAGCTTGAAGCCAAAGGTTGTTACTAGTTCTTTTCGTAATATCTGATGCTCAATTATATCAAAAGCAGCAGAGAGATCTAAAGGACTTAGCAAAACAACAATGAGAGAACCAATTTCGAGGAGCAAATCATTCAGTGGCTTAAGTATAAAATCTCAGTACTGTGATTTACTCTATGGGCTGATTGGAGGGTCTCTAAGAGTTTGTTTATTAGGAAATGGGATATCAACAGTTCAAGGACAACCCTTTGAAAAACTTAAGGAAGTGGGGGGGGGGGGGGGGGGGGGGACGGAGGCTACACCCCGAAAGTCCTGATTCGGCTCAAATTATTGAATTTGAGTTGTAGACATATTTAGCGTCCTCAGCCTCTGTTCTACAAAGTATTTCATCGCATAAGAAACCCCAAAAGCCGTAGGCCCTATTACTTCCCACACCGGGCATGTTTGTCAACAGCATTTTCTCATTAAGTCAATATTCTATTTTTCTTTATCGGCTGTTTTCTCAACACGATTGGTCTCTATACTTTTTTGAATAACTCCACCATTTTTCATTCAATCTTCATGAAATTTTCTGAGAATGAAGAGAAGATGTACTACTCAAAATGTGTAGGTTGAATTTGTGATATATGGAATAGATTTTTGTTCGTGGTTTCTGGAGTGTGGATTTTCACGGATTTTTTGCAAACTTTAATATTACCTCAGGAAAAAATTCATTAAAAATTTTAACATTCGTTTAGGAAAAAAATCAACTGACAAATTTTTAAAATCTAATGGTTGCTAACATGCATGCGAAGGAAAAAACAAACAGTTTCCATAAACGATAGTCGATAAGTGCGGTATTCATTATGTAAAACATGTCAACAAAATCCAATATGGCCGGTGTATCTATGGAAACAAAACTTTTAAATAAAATTTGATTGCGGATTTTAAGACCCCCTACTATGCTTGTTATATGTGTGAAATATGGTAAAATTTGGTCTACTAATAAACGAGATAGCCTTTAGGTGTAGCACCCCCCCCCCCTCTTAAGAGTGAAAAGAACGGTTTGATAATAAATATCTATTGTTCTTCAAAAAGGACTTTGGGACTGATGAAACAGAGAGGTGGAGGGAGGGAGGGAGAAGCAGAGGGAGAGAGATAAAGAGAGAAGAGAGAGGGAGAAAAAGAGTGATGGAGGGAAAGAGAGAGGGAGGGAAAGAAAAGAGAGATACAGAAGGAGAGAAAGAGCGAGTGAGGGTGAAAGAGAGAAAGAGAAGAAAAGGAAGAGCCAGTGAGAGAGACAGAAAGACCGAGAGAGAGAGAGAGAGAGAGAGAGAGCGAAGGTGAAAGAAAGAGAGCAGAGAAAAGGGAAAGATAGAGTCAGTGAAAGAGAAAGAGAGAGA